CAAGATTGAGGATGTTTCAGGGTAGGGCAGAGTTTTGTTCTGTTGTACACAGGCTGGCTATGAGTCTCAGCTGACTTGATGGTACCTAGCAGTGGCATTGGAGAAGAGTAGTGACTATCCCATGAACTGCCAAAAGAAGAAATAATGGAGGAAGTGCAACCAGGGTGCTGCTTAGAAGCAAGAAGGATTAAACTTGCTCTCACATATTTTAGGCATGCTGTCAGGAGGGGCAAGTCTTTGGAAAAAAAGATGTAATTTCTGGGAAAGGTAGAGGGTAAGAGAAATAGAAGAAGACAACTTGACGAAACAGATTGACACAGTGATGGTTAAAATTGTTGTTAGGTGCCATCGCGTTGACTACAACTCATAGCGAGTGCATGAACAATGGATCTGAATCTTGCCCTATTTGATGCCATTCTCATCATCTCTGATATACTTGAGCCTATTCTTACAAACACTAGGTGAATCCATCTCGCTGAGGGCCTTGCTTTTTCAACTTTAACAATGGGTTTGAGCATATCAGAGATCAAGAGGATGACATAGGCTAGGGCAATGTTCAGATCCATTGTTCCCAGGGTCACTATAAGTCATTGTTGACTTGGTGGCCTTAAAAACAACAAACATTTGATGTTTTGGTTCATATCACATTCACTGATGATCACGTAGGCAGAAAAGCAGGGTACAGGGTTAGCTTACCACTGCTGTTGAGTTGATTCCCATCCACAGAGACCTTCCATCCTCTAATGATGGAAGTCTTAAAGACAGAGGGCTGCCTAGCTTTCTCCTGTGGAGCCGGTGGTGAATGCAAGCTGCTGAGTTTTTGGTTAGCAGCACAACATGTAGAAACCATACAGCATCAGTGCTCCTTTACAAGGTTTGCACTAGGAGTGAAATGCTTCCTCCAGACAGTGACACACGTCACCACTCACCTTTCACTGGCCACAGCAAGTTCAATGGCACCCTCAACTCCAAAGGGGCAAAGGAACCTTATCAGGAGCCTAGAAGGAGGCATACCAAAGGATCTGCCATACATGATTACCACAGATACCCTGTCACTGTGGGCAGGTCATGCCCTCTTTCAAGTCTTCTTTCCCACAAAATGAGCTTAAGAATCACTGCTTTACTCATCTTTTACCTTCTACTGCCCTGCCGGAAGGTCAGTTATAGGTTGGTTTCAACTCGACAGCAAAAACCAACAACCACCATTGCCATAAGAATGTTTACTATGGTCATTATGAGAGAGAATGGCTTAGTTATCAGAATATAATTGGTGTGCTGCCTGCTGTCAGAAGAAAAAAGCCAATTGTGGAAATGGGTTGGACTAGGAAAAGTAGATTTAATATATACTTATCTGTAGGAGACACAAGATATGGCCTTCTCAAATCTATCTCAGCAAGAGAAGGTTCTTTCCAACCCAAAGGCACATGGTTCAAATCTATCAACTGCTTACTGGGAAAAAAATGAAAGAATGTCGTCTTGTGTGATTTACTGTCTCTGAAAACCCAGTGGCCGGTCAGTTATGAATTGGTGCTGACTCAACAATACAAAACAACAACAGTAACAGTCTGGAAAAGTCCTCATGTTTATTCAGCACTTTTTAGAGGGAAAGGAGGGTTATCTTAGAAAAGGAGAGATTGCACACAGCTGGCATCCAAGATGACACATCTTACTGGGTAGCTATTTTATCAACAAGGGGCATGTGCTGGTAGTTTCCCTTCTTTCGAGGTTAGTACTTAACTGCAATCCTGAAGGCGCATGGTTCTTATGCATCAGAGAGTCAGACAGTGAATAGAAATTACAAAAGGAGAATCAATGCCTTTGCAGTGTGGTACTGAAAAAAGTACTAAATATCCCACTAACTGTCAAGAAAACAAACAAGTATGTCTTGGAGAGAGTACAGCCACGGCACTCCTTACAGAGAAGGATAATGAAACATCATCTCACATACTTTGGACATGTTTCTAGGAGGGGTCCAGTCCTTGAAAAAAAGACATGATACTCAGAAAAGTTGTTGTTGTTGTTAGGTGCCGTCGAGTCGCTTGCGACTAAAGGAAAGAAAAACCCTCAACTAAGATGGATTGACACACTGACCTTAACAATTGACGCTAGTGTGTCAGAGATGATGAGGATGGCACTGGATGGGACAGAGTTCAGATATTTCATTCATAGGGTCACTAGGAGTTGTCTAACAGCACCTAACAACAACTGGCTAAGAGTGTGCTCTGGTGGCCTAGTGGTAAAGTGTTGTCCTGTATCTAGTCCTATTGAAAACCACAGGCCACTTTGGCTTGAGAGATACTGCAGGATCATTGTGAGCACTCCTTCCTCCAGGTTCCCCACATTCTCTTTGAACCAAATCAGGTCGCTATGATTGTTTACTTGACAACTCATAGTTCTCCTCCACAGACACTCCCAAGAAGACCACTCTGAGTCAGAGATAAGCTAAACCACGGAAACTCCTTTTACCCAACCACAGACAATGCTGACAGTACAAATAATAGCTTTTCTCAAACTTTAATGCGAAGAGTAGTGGACACTTGTCAGTCCACTTACAGAGTGCTTTGCTGACTCTTCCTATGAGAGGTTTTGCTGTGGTTCACCCCCCCCCCCCCCCCCCCCCCCCCCCCGCCCCTTACTTGCTGCAGAAGATCAAATTTGACAGCTTTCATTATGAACATTTCAACATCAAGAAGACAAATATCCTCACTTCTGGCAAATATCCTCACTTCTGGGTCAATAGTTAACATCATGATAGATGGAAAAAAGATTGAAATTGTCAATGAATTAATTTTACTTGGGCCCATCAACACACTTGGTCCTAGCTAGCAAGAATTAAAAAAAAAAAAAGTATTACATTGGAAAAGTCTGCTGCCTAGGACCTCTCTAAAGTACTAAGGAGTGATGAAGACGAAGGTATGCCTGATTCAGTCCATGGTCTTTTCAATAAGTTACTATGCCTCTGAGAGCTGGACAGTGAATAAGTATGATAGAAGAAGAATCAATGCCTTGGAGCTGTGGTGTTTGAGAAGAGCACTGAACATCCTATGACTGTCAAAAAAGCAAAGAGATGGTTTAGGAAAAGTGCAGGCAAGGATGGAGAAGCTCACATACTTTGGGCATATTGTTAGCAGGGGCTATTCCTTGGTAGAGGATGGAGTCAGTAAGATAGAAAGACCCTCACTGAGATAGGCTGACATGGTAACTGAAGCAACGGGCTCAATTATGTCACAGATGATAAAGATGGCACAAGATAGGACGGCTTCCAGATCTGTGAGTCATACTTAACTCTATGGTGGCACTTAACAACATTCTTCTAATAAACTAGGCTGTGAATCTTTAAAAAAAAAAAAATGAACCATCTTAGAATAATTGTTATTTATTGAAGATAAAAGCAAACATGTTTTACTTGATAATGTATGGATAAACAGAACTAATATTGCATGTAAGTTTGTTCTTAGAATAGCCACACTGTAAAAAAAAACACATGTAATTTATGTTTTTTTCTTTCTTTTTAAAAATTTTATATTGATTTGCATACACAAGTTGTATACATTGTTTTTCATTAATACACATTTGTTTCATGCATTCCTCCATTCACACTGTTTCATATATCTTTCCCATACATTGTTTTATAAAATTAATCATCATTGATCCATGTCCACCACTACCTTGCCTTTTCAGGCCCCCAATCGATCTTTCCTAATTCCTTCACCCACTCACTCTGCCCACCAAACTCTGTGACTTTGAGGTTTTCAACCTCCTCTCCACTCCCTAGGCTCCCTCCTCTCTCGCCTTCACTCTTGGACTTTGGTACACATCTTACTAGTTGTTGTTGTTGTTATGTACCCTTGAGTCACTTGTGACTCATAGTGACCATATGTGCAATAACTTGGGATTCTATCCTGAGCCAATCTCACTGTCTTTGACACAGTTGCCCTCATTACCTCAGTCACTGTATCAATCCATCATATCCAAGGTCTTCCACTCCTGCGCAGTCCCTCTATCTTTCCAAGCACAGTGTCCTTCTACTTTTACAATAATGGTCATATGCAGTATTTGTCTTTATGAGACTAAGTTAACATAATGCTCTCCAGCCCCTCCCATGTGATAAAGTATCTTTCAAAATCATTGCTATTGAGTATCCACTGCTATATAGTATTCCATCATGTGAATGGACCACAATTTCATCTATTCGTTTGTAGGCTGTTTCCGTTTCTTGCTATTGCGAATAATGTTGCACTGAACATAGGTGTACAAATCTGTATCTTGGTTCTGTGAAACTTCTTAATGAGAGTATATGTCCTAACGCACAAAAATACTTCTGAAGAGTCTTCATGTCAGTTAATACAAAACTTCCTTGAAGCATGTTTAAGGACATGTAATTGGGTTGAACTTTAAGACTCCTTCAAACTCTGAGATTCTAAAACTAAAATAAGACTAAAAATAGGAGGGGAGAAAGAGGAAAGAAAAGGGAAGCTCAGAAAAGGGCATTTTAGGCAGGAGTAGATGTGGAGGCAGGAAAGTAAAAAAAGAAAAAATACTAGGCACGGAGAGTGCACCATGTTGACTGGCATGAAATGAGAGGAAGTCTGATCAAAGTGTAGGGTGAAGGTACAGTGGGACTTTAATAGGGAAACTTTAATAGAATTTTAATGGAAAGCATAGAATTGGTTGTAATGTATGAAATTTCGCAGTCAAGAGCTCTAACAAATGGAAAGCAAGATGCGTATTGAAAATTCCTAAAACTACCTCATATTTAGGAGCACTGCTGTTTCAAAGTGGGGGTCAAGTGCACACCAACCTCTTTGCGCCAAAAGGGCGGGCGGAGTCCCGCCTCACGTCGTCACGTGGCTTAAAGAGCCCCCGGCACGTGACTCACCTCACGCTTGGCCAATCAGCCTCTGCAGGGGCGGGGCCTGGCGTCTAAGGGGCGGGAGCCTTAGTGGCAGCCGTCTCTTCTCGCGATCTTTGCCGCTGTCGCTCATTAACCGCCCACGGCCGGGCTCGAAGGTCTCGCGAGGGTTGGGCGCTGCGGCGGTAGGAGGAGGACGGGAAGGACGGCACCGAGCCACGGTCCCTTCCCTCACTCACTCCCTCGCGCACTCGCCCGCCCCCTCCCTCCCTCCCCTCCCTTCCCCGGCCCCGGCTCAGGCCCCGGCCCATTCGCTGTTTGGTCCGCTGCTAGGGAGGATGTCGGGCTCCTCGCTCCCCAGCGCCCTGGCCCTCTCGCTGTTGCTGGTTTCTGGCTCCCTCCTCCCAGGGCCTGGCGCCGCTCAGAACGGTAAGCTGGGCGCTGGAGGCGGGCCGGGCGGGGGCTGAGGGGTGCCGGCGACTGCTGAGGGGCCGGTTCGGGGCCAGTGGAAGTCCGGAGCCGGGGGAAAGGGGCCAGTTGGGAGCCTACGGGTCAGAGAGGAGGAGATGCCGAGATGCCGGTCGGGCTTTGAAGAGGCACAGATGATGCTTGTCTGAGAGGAGGGGGCGTCGGATGTGATCCGGAGGTGTTGCTGACTTAGAGCCTGTACGTCGTGGGGTTGTCGCTCCAGGTCGCGGAGGGGACCCCGAGGAAGCCGATGTGAAGAGCTGGAGTAGCGGGGGCGGGTGGGGAGGGGGCGCAGCATTTAAAGGAGGCAGCAAGAAGACAGACATTTGTGTTCGCAGGCGACAACGTGGGGGCTGTCAGTTAGGCTACCCGAGACAACCAGGGTCCCGGGAGCGGGGGTCGTCGAGGTTCCACGGGGCCTCGTAACTAGTGACAGCCTCAGAAATGAGGGAAGGTATATTGATGGTGAGCACAGTACTGGAGCCCTACGAATCAGGGGACCTTGGGTATGGGGGTGGAGGGAAGGTGGGTGGAAAGCCAAGAGAGTGGGTTGACTGCAGTAGGGGACCTGGAAGGAAGCAGCATTGACTCCGAAAGGAGATGGGAGAGAGGGCTGGGTTTGCTAAGGAGGGTGGAGTGCTGGGCATTCTAGGGCAGTGGTTGGAAGAGCTCAAGGGGGTTTCTAAATAAGGAGAGGAAAAATGAGCAGAGGTTTGGTAAAAAAGCTTGAAACCTTTCTCCTAAGTGAACGGGGTTATTGAGAAGTAAAAGGTGCTTCGATATAGAGATGGGAAGTGGGGGAAGAAAGGGGAAAAAAACCAAACCAAAACAAAAAACAAACCCAAAAAGGGAAGGAGTAAAATGCAGGAAGCCGGGGGTGTGCTGTTGGTTTACAGTGTAGAGGATATATTAGGGAAGAGAGGCGCTGGATTGTGGCAGGTACTCAGTGGTGTTCAGGCCCGGCCTTTGGGAAGAAGACTGGGACTCTGGGCTAGACCTGCAGCCCCGGGGCTGAGGGCAGTGACAGATGAAAGGGAGGTGCAAGAAGTGAGTGTGTGAGGTCTGAAAGTTTCGAGGCAGAAGAGACTTTTTTTTTCTCCCGAGGAACCTGGGTGGACAAGAGAGAGTTGAATTTGGAATTTAAGCTCATGGGAGAAGATGGGTGAATGGTGGGCTATCATGGTGTTGGGGGACCTACACAGAACGGATTTTTGAGTGAGGGCATGTGTCACACACAGCGGCTGCATTGGTCCTGCAAAGGTGAGGCCAGCCAGCCAGTAAGAGGTTTAAAATTTTTTTCTAGGAAGGAATGTATGAAAAGGCGGTAGTGGAGAGAGTGGATCACAAACTATTTTGCTAATCTTTCAGTGTTTCTTCATTGTTGTATTAAAATGTAGAATTACTCTATTAAAATGTGAATAACTTTTTTTTTTAGACTCAGACAATGGAATTATGCTTCTAAGGAAAAAAAAAACCCTGAGTTTAAAATGCTGCAGAGCATAGTGAGAATGTATTGATAAAGGCTTGAGATTGGTTTAGTGTAAAGTGTTCGTTGTGCCCAGTAGAACTAGTCAAATATTAGCTGTGCTTCCTGGCCTTGGATTTTCACTACAGGAATCAGGAAGGAAACATTTTTTTCTGTCTATGCTAACTAAAATGAACATTTTCCTGCTTTCCTTCAAAGCATAATTCCACTGTGGTAGGCAGGGCAGAGTTGGTCTCATTTGTTTTAACAATTTTGTCTGTGTTAATAATAAGGCTTAAGCCTAATACTCATTTTAGATATTTGATTTGCAAAGTAGCATGGTTTTGTTTTTGCACAGCAAGTGGAAAATTCTTGAATTTAATCTCTGATGGTATAGCTTCTTTCAATGATTTAAAATACGGTGAAATTGTAGTTTCTTAGCAACTAAAGCAAGGCTTTTGGATAGACCTAAAACGACTCACCTGGCTGTTCTTAGTGATATGCGTTCTAAATACAGCATAGTACATACAGCCTTTTCCCTGAAATGAGCTTGAATTTAGTCACGTGACATGGTGACACTGAGCTGGTAGTTGACCGAAATGAATGTAAATTTAATTCAAGGAGGAAATACTGCTATTTTTTTAGTTTGGTTTCTTGTGTTCATGTGGGTAAGGATACCATCTTATAGCATTCTGAGACCTAGTTTGTGATAAGATTCAAGCTTTCAACTGGTAATTGACTGGTCTACTGTCATGGAGTTTGTATTTCCTTACTTCAGAAATGCTCTGTATGATGTTGAAATACTAGAAATTTTATGTTATCTACATAGAAACTAACAAGGAACCTGGGTGGTGGAGTGATTAAATGTTAGACTACTGACAGAAAGATGTGTTGGAGCCCACCTTCTCTTAGAAAAATGTGGCAGTCTGCAAAGATTTAAGGCTTTGGCAACCCTGTGGGGCAGTTCTACTCTGTGCTCTAGCTTACTATGACTTGGAATAGACTAGACAGGAATTGGATGGGCTTTATACAGTGATGACTTGAAAAATAACTTTAATGTTTCTAGATTGGATATTTGGAAGTTTACATTGAGTATAGATCTCTCCCGCCCCTGCAGAAAGCCTAAAATGAAGAATTTGAGGGAGATGACCTTCACGGTGTCCCTGAGTACATTTTTGAAGGTGTATTGACTATTGATGGTGCATCTCCTCTGAGTGAAAGAAAATGAGCAACAGACAGAAAATTCTGTGACCTATTACCATACCAGTTTTATTTTCTACACGTGTACTGCAACTTAGATGTGTAGGGCTACCCTTTCAAATAAAACCCTTATTTAAGTTGTTGATTTTTTAATATATGAACATAAATGTACTTCATTTTTAAGGCAGAGACTTGCCTAAAATATCAACTCTGTAGGACAGGTTTTAGCTTTAGGCTAAAAGTCAAAGATTGTAAACCAAGTGGTATAATTTGCTGATCAAGAACACAGGCTTTGGGTCACTGTACCTTGAATTCCAGCTTTTCTGTAGCCCAGTCACTTTAGAAAGATACTTGCAACCTTCATGCCTCATTTTACTAATGAGGTTTATACTAATTCTAGTCTCTTCAGGATGATGGTGAATATTAAGTGATATACTAGTCATTAAACATGTAAATTTCTGCCTGGTTGGTGACATTCAGTAAATGCTATAGATTATTCTTATTTTCATTTTAAAAGTGACATTATTATATATTTGTCTTCATCTATATATACTGAACACTTAGTTGTTAATGCTAGTCATCATTATCTCGAATAAAGGTAAATAGGCCATTTGGAGACCCACATTGAGAGATTTGTGCTATTGCTTATGTAATTTTTTAGAAAAGTGACCAGCTGCACTGCCTCTGTAATTGCGAATTGTGCTGAGGAAGTTCATATTTCTATTTCACTGTTTGGGAGTTTTCATGAGAGTTTAAAGTGAACCGAATACCTTTTCATATGGTCTAGATGGTGTATTTTTCTAGTTTATTGTTGTTAGAAGAGAATTAGAATGTGATGCCTGGTACACAGTGGGAGCATATGAATGAATGAATAAATGTGGAAAGTAGTGTCAAAATATAGTAAGTATTCATACTGGAAATCTAAAATTAGATAATGAAACTGTTTAGTGGTGATAATTAATTACCCCTAAAGTGTTCAGTGGTTAATAAATTCTAACGAATTTATTCATACCTAAATTTTAAGAAACAGTTTTGCTTAGGTGATATCAGATAAGGGAGTTTTGGGGGTGTACTCTCTAGCGAGTTGGCATTGTCTAACCCAAAGACTGTGTGTCATCTTCAGCAGTTCTAATCCACCAGTGGCTCTGAGGGAGAAGGGTGGGCAGTCTTTTCTTACTGCAGGTTGTTAACTGATGTGTGCTGTCCTTGTAAAGTTGATAGAGTAGGACCTGACTTGATAGTAGTGAGTTTGCATTTGATACTAGATAGTTGTGAACATTGTGCTTAGGAATGATGCCAGTACATGTATTGGATGACTCAAATCTTTTTCTTTTCCATCAAGTATTATTTACTTTGGTGGTTCAACAATTTTCTCTTGCTGAGTTCATTTTAGAGGTATATTTGCTGTTGATTTTTACATCACCTTTTTGGGTGAACTGAAGTGAGCAGTTTAAGAGAAATCTTTATCTGTGGCACCTGTGACACACATAACATTCCATAAATGTCAAACAACAAATTTTGACATAATTAATCCAAGTAAGATAACAATAACCAGGAAGAATAGTTCTCCTTGGAATAAAGCACTTCCCAGGGTATCCAGGTAGCACAGAGGTTAAAATGCCCAGTTGCGAATGAAAAGATTGGCAGTTGGAATCTACCAGCCATTTTCATAAATATCTAGAACCCTGGAAGCCCTCTGGGGCAGTTCTACTGTGACTTAATAGGAAGCTGTGAGGCATTTTTGGTTAAGGAGATCCTACCTCTTCAACTTCTTAGTCATCAGACCAAAATGTCATTCCATTGCTATGATGGAGCAGCCAGGCATGAGCTAGTTGGTTAGAGATCTAGGGTAAACCATGTTACTTTATCCGGTTGTGTTCCTGGCTCTTGATCTTTGTTTTACAGTGGTTACTGTGTCTAAATTATAAGAAGAAGGATTTTTGTGTTGCCAGACATAGTAAGTCTTAACCTATGAATATACCAAAGCTTCAAAAAGAGCAAAGGAAACAATCCTTTAAATATAAATGTGCTCCGCAGTATCAAATTATGACAAATTAATTTGTCATAAATTAAGAATGTAGTTCATTACAGGCTTAACTTTACATAAGTTACACAGATTTTCATGAGTAATTTCATTTTAATCTTGAGGGAAATACCTTGTTTTTCTCCACTAATAAAATTTTGAAATAACAGCATTTTCTCTTGTGGCATAATCTTTTTTAGACATTATGAAAAGACAGTCTATTGTTTTTAAATAAAAAGCCTTTAGGAGGAGTAGGTGGGACTAGAAAATATT